CGCAGGAGCGCCCCGACAGTGAGGGGGTCCCGGCAGGCACGCGTCGAGCCCGCCTCAGCTGCCTCTGTCCTCGGCCGGCTGGCCGGCTGAGGTGGCTGTGAGGAGAGCCTTCGCCGGCTCCTTCCTTCCTTCCCCGAACCGGCCGTTCTGACCATCGGCCGTTCTGGCATTTGCCAGAACTGCCAGATGGCCAGTCCGGCCCTGCCCACAGCTTCTCTACACAAAAATACCCACCATCACCAACAACACAGCTCCTTTACAATCCCAACATCACTCTCTCACTATTGCAACTGTTCTCCTCCAGCTCAACAGCTCCACACATCTCTTCATGTAGGCATCCTTCAGTCTCAAGGGACTATGGTAAGGTGCTCTGTATGGAGGACATGGAACAGCATCTGGTATGGCTGAGGAGGCCAATTCGAGAGTGACAATCCCTTCCACACTGAAGACAAATCCAATCTGTCCCCTGTCCAGCTCCCTGATTTTGCTGCTTTCGGGTCTGCCTCTTTGCCTCGGCCTGCTGGACAAGTGGTTCTGCTCCAGTTGCTGAACTGCTGGGAATGGAGAAAGACAGATGGCTACGGCCATAAAAACATGCAAAGCATGCTGGGATGCTTAGAAGTAGTCAACAGCTCCTTCCACAAGATGTAATGAGCATGCTTTTTTAAAATATGCATTTATTCTAGAATAAGAAAGGCGGCGATGAAAGGTCTCTTGATTTTTCCAGGGACCTTTGGCCTGCTTTATACTCTTTTAACCATTGATTGGCACACAAACAAATCTGAGGTGCAGCTGAGTATGTGTTATGTTCAAGTTTTAAATATTTCACCATTTCTGCACACTTTTTTTTGGATAATGAGAAACGAACATAAACTATCATTTCAAAGATAATACCTTTTAATTTGTAGTATAAAACAAAACGTTACATGCCAATACAGTTGGGCTCCCATATCCATGGGATCAGTATCCACTGATTCACTTATTCACAATCTGAAAATATTAAAAATATTAAAAGAAAAATTCCTTGAAATATATATATTTTTAACAATGAAGTTATCAGAACTGGCCACTAGGGGAAGCCAGAGACCATGTTAGGTATAACATTTACTATTATGACAGTGTTTATCGTATTTTTCCATTTATAACACCGCCGTTTATAAGACCCCCCCCCACTTTTCTAACCCCCAAATTAAAAAAAACTTAGCTTTGAGGATTCAGCCTCTGGGCTCAGAACAATGGACATTTTGAATCTCTGTTGACTCTGAGCCTATAGGCTCCACCTCCAATGAGGTGTGTTCCAATTAGTTTGTTCAGGATCAACTGATATCAGTTCCATAAGGCTCATGATTGGAGGAAGCCTGTTTACAGAGGCAAGGTATGTGCATTGTTGTTCTCTCCTTAGCTATCTCAGCTTACTTGCATGTAAAAGATGCCCCTCAATTTTTAGTGTAATGATTTTAGGAAAAAGTAGTGTCTTATACACAGAAAAATATGGTATTTTATTTTGCATTTTTCAGCATCAGTGTGAGAGCTAGGAACCAACCCCCTGCAGATATGGGAAGTCTTACTGTATGTGTAACAGAGCACTGTCTAGCTTCTTGCAGAAAGGGGAAAAATAGAGTATGGGATTTTTGAAATACAGAAAGAAAAGGAGAAAGGATTAAGTATCTCTTCATTGCCCAACTGGCAGTTTCCTTTTGGATTCTCCTTTCCAAAATTTGTTTTTCATTCAGGAAAAATAAAATCCAAGGCTCTCATTACATGAACGATTAGCCTCTTAAGAAATCCCTACTTTACCATTCTTATCTCAGTCATCCTCAAATCTGAGGATAGAAAACAGAGATTGGTAACAGTTTGCCTGACAACACATTTGTATCCTTCTCTTCATCCAGAAAGCCTAAAAGTAGCCCATCCATGGATCCACAGTAGATTCCAATCCAGGCCCAACACAGACCAAAACAGCATTGCTTCAGTTGAAGAACTGCATCTTGAAACCCCATATCATTCTACAGACCACTCAGAACTAGGGCAGATGTCTAAAATCAGGATCAAATCACAGTGATGTTTAACTATACCGTTTACTTGGATGACCACAATAATCCTATGGCTTTCAAGCCCATATTGGAGATACTTCTCTATCCTTCTTCTAATCAAGCACAATTTCTGACAAGGTGTATTTCTTTTGTACAATAACAAAATGATTCATGAAAGAGGTCTGGAATAGAGAAAGAACTAAGAGGTGACAGGCTGGCTGAATGAATGGGCATACTTTAGATTACGTTCCATCTACAGGTTCTATTAGACAGGAGCAAAGAAGCTACAATACAAATCCAGATGTCTCCTTTGTTTGCCATAAATTTAGCATGGGATTCAGCACAAAAACTGCTATCTCTCAGCCTCAACTATCCATTTGTATATGAGGATTAAAACATAAGCATCTCTTGCCAGTTCACTGGAAAGGTTCTCCAAGAGAAAGTGTTCCGTTTAAAGCAAGGAGTTATGGTTGAAGTTGTACACCCGAAGCAAAAATATTCAGGCCACAGAACAACATCTACTGCCACCAAACACAAGGGGCCATACATCCTTATTGTGCATTAATGTCTGTCCCAAATAAATGCTATGACATAAGCCCACCAGTCATGTTTAACTCATCTTTAATGGTGTGGAAGAGTTGGAACGAAATATTGGCTTTGTTAATGTTGACATCTATAAAAAATATTCTGTAGCACAGTTCTATTCACACTGATGTAATTTTACTAGTCCAATATAACATCCATATTTGGGGGAAATGAAGTCTCATTAGTCAGAATACTACTCATTAGTCAGAATAATTTACATCAACACAGTGGAAACCACATAAATCTGGGTAGCAAATTCATTAACCAGGTGCTGGTTATGTTTCTGGGTGACCAACAGAATAGAAACATCATCTCATCAATGAGTAAATAACTGATGTAATAAAAACACTACCCAAAACAGGAACAGTATAATCTCCACCATTCATTTATATGGGGGGGGGGGAGAAATGACTTGGAACCTAATAATTCTCCACTCAGAAAGGAGATGAAAATACCAGGGAAAATAGATGTTTTTGAATGGCGCAAACCAACAAAGTTAAAAAAAACTGACATCATGCTCTATGCACAGAAGTGTACAAAACAAAACTTTAATAGCACACAGAAAAACAACAGGAGATCAAGGAAAACAAATGAAACAAATACTTGTTTGTTATAAAAACAAATTAGATCTAAGGTTAAAAAACATAGCTTTGCTGTAGAAGGCATATCTAACCTTAGTAAGTTTATCACGTTTTTATAACACACACACTGTACATTTCTGTTCACTATAAGATTTAAGGATTTCTTACAGAGGTAGTAATTGCAAGCCAATGAAATAGATATATTTGCCCACAAGAGCAAGTGTACTGCATTGAGGTAAAACCAGAATATAATAGTTACCTGCATCTAGATTAACTTCTTTGGCTTGTGGATAGTACCCAGGCAGTGTAGTCCTGGTTCAAAAATGTGCCTGCTGTAGGGATTTAGGAAGTTAGAACCCTGCTCTGCCAGGAGAAATCCCCTTATGCCAGCAGATATCTCTTAATCTGGTACAACAGTTTCTGTTAATTTATCTGAGAGATTTGCCAACAGAGAAACCACCCAGCAGAGATGGCTAAGATCTAGTTTCAGAAGAGCCAAAAAGAGGCAGAGTAGGAGGGGAATGAGGGAGAAGCCTGGTTATGCCCGATTAAAACTCCTTCCAGCTCCAGCCCAGCCCCCCCAAAATAGTAGCCCTTATGATGGACCAAAAAGGTCCTGCTGGGGCATGCGTCAGAGTCGAACTAGTTCACAACCTCATGGATCTCATGGGATTGCCAGGAAATACAGTAGTTCACACCAGATCATGCTATCTCCCTGTGTCACCACACCCTTAACTACAATTGTGTGGCTTAGTGTTGCCATCCTGTATACCAGAGATTCCCGACCCTGAGTAACTTAGGTGTTCCTGAACTACAATTCCCAGAAGCCTTCATGACTAGCTGTGCTAGCTGGGGTTTCTGGGAATTGCAGTCCAAGAATACCTGGGTTAACCAAAGGTGGGAACCACTGTTGTATACATTTACATGGGAGTGAGCTCCAGAAAACCAAAATGTATTCATTAAAGCTGTACATGAGACCACTGATCCCACAAACGTACAGCATAGCATACAGCACAGATTGTTCATGTAAAGTTTTTACAAGTAAATATATAAAATCAGTACATTTTATTTCCCTCATTATACCCTTTAAGCACTACCTGGCAGAACAGAAAGGGTGGGCTGCCCCTTCCTTTGCTCAAATGTAAGGCCAGCCTGAGCAATGAAAACAAAGAATCTGCAAGAATCTTGATGGAACTATCAAAACTAAGTACCTTTATTAAAAAAAATAATCATTTGCTTCAACTAGGAGCGAGAGTCAAATTTAATGAGGAGCAAGATGTGTAGTTACAGAAGGCAATGCCCTGCCTCCTATTGCATCAGGGCTGAACAAAATTTGAAAGGCAAACTCTTTATTCCTAGAATTCTGGCTCCTGAGAGCAACCAAAGACTACAGGATGGCTAACCTGATGAAGTCTGCCAATTGTCATGCAAATGTTTGAAATGAGTGTTTTTTGTTGTTGTTTCGTCGTTAAGTCCCCATGGACCAGAGCACGCCAGGCCCTCCTGTCTTCCACTGCCTCCTGGAGTTGGGTCAAATTCATGTTGGTAGTTCCGGTGACACTGTCCAACCATCTCGTCCTCTGTCGGTCCCTTCTCCTCTTTTAATTATTCAATCATATTTTAATTAGCGTACAGCACAGACTGTATCCACACTGGGCTCAGAAAAGCACAGGAACATTCAAAATTATAAACCAGGTGTGGTAAACCCACTTTCAGTCTGAGGAGGTTTTGTTAGTTTTAAAGGGCTTGGAGTATTATAAGTCCTGTCATAGACT